TGAAAAATGCAGTGTGTTCATCTTTTTATTCAAAACATTTTCAATTTTTCTGTCTTGTTAGTTATGTATCCTTTTACTGTATATTCCATAGAAGTGAGGTATTTAGTAGATATTCATAATTTACATTTCTGAAATGTTGTTTACTACGTCAAAACAAAAATTCAGATAAACTAATGATTAATAGTATTGCCTCAACTAAAGAACTACATAATTTTGAAAATCTTCACTATTGTAGCTATTAAAACATACTCAAATAAGGAACAGTAAACCATGTATATGTGAAATTATTTTTGAAAACTTTATAAAGTATAAGCAATAGTCTGGTTAAGATAGTGGAGTAGCTAAACACTATGCTTGCCTCCTCCCATGACAACATTAAAATTGCAACTAAATTATAGAACAAACACCCTGGAAAACCATCTGAAGATAGCTAGACAGAACTCCTGTAACTAAGAACATAAAAAGAGGCCACATGGAGACTGGTAGGAGGTGTGGAGATGTGAAACAGGCTGGACCCACCCCCACATGTGGTGTTTGAGCATCAGAAGGGACATTTTTGTGGCAAAGGTCCCATTTGAGGAGTGAAGGGCCCCAGGCCCACACCAGGATCCCAAGCCCAGGGTTTCAGTGCCAGAAAGAGGAGTCCCTACAATATTTGAAAGTGAAAACCAGCAGGGATTCTGCCCTTCTAGGTGAGAAGAAGGCTGCTGGAAAATGATAAATACTCTTAAAGACCAATATATAGACTTACTTGCTTGCAAGAACTCATCCCAGGCTCTGGTAGAGGGAAGCTGACTTGGGAGGCACCAGAGACACATAAGGAAAGGCTGAGGTTCATGGCTGCAGGGCGAGGACTAGTGAAATAGCCAACGTTATCCATTGTTGAGCTCTCTTCCTGCATCGCGGGTGGGCCAACAGCATATTGCCTATGTTGTACCCTCCCCAACACGGCCAAATCTGAAACTGCACTGGCCTGGTGAACTTTACTCACTCCACCCTGGTGACTTTTTGATAGCCTATCCCACCCAATTCCTGCACCACTGAAGGCACTTTCAGTGGCTGGGCAACTAGCCCTGCCCGGTGCTCCACAGGGGGCTCTTTCAGCAGCAAACAGCAGGCCTTAGCTCACGTGCCTGAGGTATTTTCGGTGGTGGGAAACCAGCCCCACCCATGCTACGGTCTTTCTTGGACAACTCTCAAGGATCTGCATGCACAAGGTGGATGGCAGCTGGACTTGGTGTGCTCTGAGACTTTTGGGAGGGCCCCCAGCTTAGAGCTGGCACCACAACTGAACCTGCATTAAGCTGGTAAAAACCACTCACCCTATCCTGGAAACTACCCGGGACCCCGGAGCACCCAATTCAAGTATTGACCAAGCTTTTCAGTTGCTGAGCCTTACAATAGCCTTTTGCAGAGCTACCCCAGGCTCAGTACTGGTGGATGCTGGCCTTAGTTCTCAGCATGGCCTCTCACACATGCCTCCAGGTCCAGCACAAGAAGTGAACAATCACCAATAACTTTGTAGCTATGACCATTTAGCCCTGGGCCAGTCACAGGTAGCAGCTAACCTTGGCCTGCATGGGAGCCTCTCTTAAGAGGCTCAGAACAAACATACAGGAGGTAGGCTGCAGGCAATAACACAGCATTACCCAATTAGCCCTGTAAGCAGCACACCCAAAGTGTGATCTCAACAGGCACAGGAACCTGCAGGGGCAAATCCCACTCTGTGGAGTCAGCCCCTTGATAGCAGCTCATATGTGAGTATGGCCAATCTTCACAGCCAGTCGGCCTGAGAGTCAATCCCACTCATTGATGTGCCAAGAAAAATCGAGGCTCAACAACAAGAGGGCACATATACCCACAAAAGGGACACTCCTAGAGCACATGGTACAGGCGATCAGGGAGACTATGCCACTAGGCCATACAAGACATCTATTACATAAAGCTACCAGTGAAGACAGAGTGACATAGGAGATCTATGAAACAGAGGCAGCCAAAATGAAGAAACAAAGAAACATGTCCCAAATGAAAAAACAAACAAACAACAACAACAAAAACAAAACAAAACAAACAAACAAAAAACAGGAGAAAACTCCAGAAAAAGAACTAAATGAAATGGAGGCAAACAACCTTCCAGAGACAGAGTTCAAATAACTGGTTATAGGTATGCTCAAGAAATTTACTGGGAACTTCAACAAAGAATAGTAAGCATGAGAAAAGACACAGAAACCATAAAAAAGAACCAGTTGGAAATAAAAAATACAATAACAGGAATTTAAAAAAATACCCTAGAATGAATAAATAGAAGATTAGATGAAGCAGAGGGTTGAATCAATGATTTAAAAGATAAGGTAGCAGAAAATACCCAATCAGAACATCAACAACAACAAAACAATTTTTAAAAAATGAGGATAATTTAAGGAATCTCTGCGACAGTATCAAGCACAACAACATTCACATAATGGGAGTACCAGAAGGAAAAGACAGAGAGCAAGGGATTGAGAACCTATTTGAAGAAATAATGACTGAAAAGTCCTCTGACCTGTTGAAAGAAATAGACATACAAGCCCCAAAAGCCCAGAGAGTCCCAAACAAGATGAACCCAAACAGGTGCACACCAAGACACATCATAATTAAAATGCCAAAGATTATAAACAAAGAGAATCCTAAAAGCACCAAGAGAAAAGCAATTATTTACCTACAAGGAAGCTCCCATACAACTGTCAGCTGATTTTTCAACAGAAACTTTGCAAGCCAGAAGGAACTGTCACAAAATACTAAAAGTGATGAAAAACAAGAACCTACAACTAAGATTACACAGAAAAAATTATCATTTAAAATTGAAGGAGAGAAAAAGAGGTTCCCAGATAAGAAAAAGTGGAAGAAGTTCATCACCACCAAACCAGTATTACAAAAAATGTTAAAAGGACTTCTTTATAAAGAAAAAGAAGGAAAAAGAGAACATGAATACTAATAATAAAATGTCAATAACTGCATACCTATCAATAATCGCTTTAATATAAATGCATTAAATGCTCCAATCAAAAGACATAGGATAGCCAAATGGATAAGAAAGCAAGACCCAAACATATGCTGTCTATAAGAGACCCGCTTCAGATTGAAAGACACACAGAGACTAAAAGTAAAGGGATAAAAAAGGACATTTCATTCAAATAGAAACAAAAAAGCTGGGGTAGCAATACTTATATCAGACAAAATACTTTAAAACAATGACCATAATAAGAGACAAAGAAGGACAATACAAAAGATCAATAAAACCAAGAACCAGTTCTATGAAAAGATAAACAAAACTGACAAACCTTTAACCAGACTCATGAAGAAAAAAGAACCAAATAAATAAAATCAGAAATGAAACAGTAGAAGTGACAACTGGCTTTACAGAAATACAAAAGATTATAAGAAAAAAAAAAATACTACCAGCAATTACATACCAACAAATTGGACAATCTGGAAGAAATTGATACATTCCTACAAACATACAAAATTCCAAGACTGAATCAATAAGAAACAGAAAATCTGAACAGACCAATTACTACTAATGAAGTCGAATCAATAAACAAAAAACTCCCAACCAACAAAAGTCCTGGACCAGATGGCTTCACAGGTGTATTTTAACAAACATGCAAAGAATTAACTCCTTTTCTCAAACTATTCCAAAAATTTAATTTCCATTTCCTGATATTTATCCAAAGAAAATCAAAACACCAATTCAAAAAGATATGTACACCTCTATGTTCACTGCAGCGCTATTTACAATAGCCAAGATATGGAAGCAACCTAAGTGCTCATCAATAGATGACTGGATAAAGAAGTAATACATATATTCAATGGAATATTACTCAGCCATAAAAAAAATCTTGCATTTGGGACAACAAAGATGGACCTAAATGGTATATGCTAAGTGAAGTAAGTCAGATAGAGAGAGAAAAATATCACACGATCTCACTTATATGAGGAATCTAAAGAACAAAACAAACAAAAAAGCAAAACAGAAGAAAAATAAAATAAAGTAGTAACAATATATGGGGTACTGGGGAACAGTCTAGTGTCCCCTCTCCTGCATACACACCAAAATCTGGGGGAGAAAAGGGGATATACTTTGAGAGTGATATTAATTAAATCAACTCATAATTGGAAGATGACCCATGGACCATTTACTTCATTGTAGTTTAATCAATGATAATGATGATATAGCTAAAGAAAGAATGCACAACAGAAAGTTCATCCAGAGATGCCCAACCGCCACTGACAGCTCCCCTTTATTGCACGTGCAACATTCTTTCAAATTATAATATAATTTTATTTTTCAACACAAAGTCATCCTTCAGAAGTCAGTAAACTATAGCTTTCAGTTAAAATCTGTCCTATAACTTGTTTTTGGAAATAACGTTTATTGTAACACAGCCACACCCATTTGTTTACATAGTGTCTGCTGCTGCTTTCTCCATAAAATGACAGAATCAAGCAGTTGTGACAGAGATTATATGTTCCACAAACCTGAAAATAGTTACCATTCCATCTGGCCCTTAATAGAAAATGTCTGCTTACCTTTGAATTACAATGCAATTTTCTTCTAAAAGAATTTATTTGGTCTCTAAAGCAAAACATTAAATGCTTCCTTAAATTATCATGTATCTAAAAAGGACCATACATTTGTGACAACATATAGCTAATAAAGCAAGCTAATGTGAGCTTACAACAAGTTTGCATTATTAATAACTCAACTCAAAAAACATTCACTAAAATTCAATAAAAGAACTATAATTTTATCATTTTTATGGAATGCTGGTAGAACAGAATTATTTAAATAAGTTTGCTTGAGTAGGTTTAGTCTTTGTAAAGATGAAACACTCAAAGCCTTTAGAAACATCAGAAATCCATCATATTCTATTTTACTCTAAAAGATAAGTTTGTCTCCAAATTGACAATTAAGGTTTTTTGGTAATTAATTTAAACTATTATTGCAAAATATTACTTACTTTTTGTTTAATTGCCACTGTTTTTCCAGTAATCACAGCCTCGGGTTTGATAATAGCAATACTGTATAGTTGCTCTAGGAAAAAATAACAGAAGAATTTCATTTTCTTGGCACAAAGTCTAGATAATAAAGGATTTGGCAATTAAAAATATAAACTACTAATGTCCAGTGAATTTTTATCCAATGACAGTTTTGTTCATATTTTGGCATTTCAACTATCAAAGAGTTTCTACTTAGACTCAAAGTGCAATTCCTACACTTACATGCAATAGAAACGTTCACAAGAGTGTGTGGTTAATAGGCAAAAAAAAAAAAAAGTATGTGGGCACTAGTTCTTTTGCTACAATTCACATACATTAGTATCACACCCATGATCCATCTAGCTCACTATCACTGGTGAGTGGAGTTTCAAAGGCAAGCAAACATTACACACTAATGGATTTAACATTGTAAGTTTATCTACATTTATCTACCCATTATTAGATGTGTTTGCCTCTACTCCCTCTGGAGTATGAACACATACTCGTATGCCCACACAGACAATCCATTGAAGGCAGGAAATTATTAATTATAAAGTAAACTTGGAGTGTGAGTCATCAAGAAAGATTATTTTCACAAGTTTTTGGAAGATGATGAACCTCTGAATGGCTAACCAGGCACAGAGACCAAATAGAAGGGAGGGAGAGCAAAAGAGGTTGCTTTTCAATAGCTGAATCTCATATTGCACAAGTTATTTATCCTTCTGGTTCCATATCAGCTAACACTGATGTCATTACCAGCTCTTTGATACTTCAAGTAGTGCTCTAATGAGCATTAATGTACACAAATTCCTTGCCATTACTTTAAATTTACTTACCAAAATTTTCAGAGGATGCTTCCCCAGTATCTTCTGTATCTGAGTCTGCAAGTAAAATTTCATTATACTATGGAAGAGAAATGCAAATAAAATAGTTATATTTTAATATTACAGTGAAGAGTTCTTGGAATTTTTTTCTAATAAATATTTATAATTCAGGGGACAGAAGAGAAAGTAGATATGTGCCTGCACTTATCTAACACTACTTTTCCCAAGCTTTCCACTAAAATAAAATAGGAATGTTTAAAATAGTTGGAGTAGGGGGATTATCAGAAATAATTTATATATGCTATATGGAAATGATTAAAAACCAAAAAGCCTTAAAACTTAAGAGCACAAGGAATAAAATAAGAAACAGAGATTAAGAAAACAATAAATAAATATGTTAAAGATCAAAAGTGCATTCGATACGTTTCAAGATCCATTCCTGACTATTACAATTAGTAAATTAAAAACAGAAAGATACCACCTTAACTTATTTTTTTTTAGTCTTGTTCAAAACAATAGCCAATTTCCTACTATAGAGCAGAACACTAGGAAGAATGGGAGGTGAAGTCCTTATTAATTGCTTAAGAAGCCCTGAAAGTACTGCTGTGATTCTGTGAACTCCCTGCAAGGTCTGTATATTTACATATACCCACTTATTTTTTTTTTTTGGCAAGATAATTCGGAACTTCAGATTTTCAATGGAATAAAGACTCAAAAATATTTGTAAATAACTATACTGGAAGCATTCACTCTTATTATAATCAGGAATAAGATAATTATGAAAGCTCTAACTTCAAATTGATCTGACTTCGTATTTACTGGACCTGTGTTGGCCAATAGAGTAGCCACTAACCACTTAAGCCTGTTTGAGCACTTGAAATGAGGTTAGTTCACATTAGGATGAGCTGTAAGTGAAAAATACACAGCTATTTTTTTATCTTAAGTATATCTTTAAATGAGAATCTTTTGAATATACCAGATTGATTAATTTTCTCTATTTAATTTTTCTTATATCTAATGTGATGTGTAAAATATTTTATATTATGTATGTGGCTCACATCATGGTTTATATTTTATTACTATAGGATAGAGTTATTCTCTACAAGGCAATTAGATAAGAAAGCTAAATAACAGACATGTCCAACAAAATGGAATAATATAAAATAAACATGATATCATAAATTTCTTATATACCCACTGTTATTAATTAAAACAAGATGTCATTCTGTAAGAACAGCAAGAACAACAAGAACAACAATATAACCGTAAAACAGTACACATAGAGAAAACTAGATAAAATACAGCAAAAGGAGAATATGTTTAGGAGTCATTCTGTCTGACTTCAAATTCTCATATCACCACCTACTAATTGCCTGTTTCTGCGGAAATTAGTTAATGTTTTTAAGCATTGTCTTATCATTTGTAAATATAAGATTTCTTGAAGTTCCAGTTCATGATGGCAACATAAGAGGCTCCTGAACTCACCTCCTCCCATCCTCCCATAGACACACCAAATCTCATCTACATGTTGCACAATTCCCTCTGAAAGAAATCCAGAAACTAGCTGAGTGACTCCTACACATCAAGCAAATGAGGAAACACACACACACACACACACACACACACACACATTGAAATGAGTAGGAAGGGTTAAGACACAATCTCACCATAAACTCCACTCCTGACACGACATACAATTGGGAGAAATTCACATCTCACAGTATTTCCCTGAGGAGTGAAGGGTTTAGATTCAACATCTAGGACTCAAATTTTAAGACTTCCAACAAGGATTGGCCCCCAAAAGCCTACCTCTGAAAGTCAACTAGGGCTTGCATCTACAAGATCCACAAGACTGGAGTAAATGAACAATTCTTAACAGGCTCTTGAAGACTCACTGTGGCTATCATCCCAAGGCTCAATACAGAGGCAGCAGATTGAAATGCCTAGTTTTTCCCTGAAAGATGCCTGTTTGGAAATCTTATGAACTATAGTCCAAGGGTCAGTATCCTAATTTAACAAGTGCCTAAAGGCTGACCGGAATCCTCTCCAGAGACCGAGGAGACCAGTAGAAGCCATCAAGTGCTCTCCCTCTGCTCTACTGCAGGTTACTGGTGTCTCCCTGGAAGGAGCTTGTGCACATGTCTGGTGCACTGGCTTTCACAGCTGCTACCCAAGGGACAAATCCCTTGGTCACTTGGCTCTTATGGCCAGAAGAGCTTGAGTTCACAGGTCCCACAAGACTGCTGCAAACAAAAAATAGTTCTTGACTGGCTATCCATCAGGGCACAGCAGGAAGGCAGCAGTCAGAGGCACCCAACTCCTAATGTTTCCCCGAGGGATCCTATTTGCATGTCTTGGGGGCTGCAGCCTGGGTAAGGCTTCTAGTTTGATACACATCTAGGGGCTAACTGCAATCCTCTCCAGAAACCATGGACTCTGGCAGTTCTCATCTTTGCTTTCTCCTTCTGCCCTGTTCCAGGTCACTGTTGTCTACATGAAGAGAGCTTGAGTGCATAGCTGGTACTCGGCTTTTGTGGCTGCTTCCCAGAGAATACATCCTTTGATAGCCTGGCTCTGCCACAGCTGGTGTTTGTTGGTTCAGTAGAACTAGCAATGATAGATAAACCACCCAGAAAGAAAATCAATAAGGAAATATTGGACTTAAACTTCGTGTTAGACCAAATGAACTTAATAGACATTTATAGAACATTCCATCCATTAGCAGCAGAAAACACATTCTTCTCAAGTGCACATGGAACATTCCATAGGATAGATCATATACTAGGCCACAAAACAAGTCTCACTAAATTTTAGTAGATTGAAATTACATCAAGTATCTTTTCCAACCACAATGGTATGAAACCAGAAATCAACTACAAGATGAAATTAAAAAATTCACAAATATATGGTGATTAAACAATGCATTTCTGAACAACCACGGGTCAAAGAAGAAATCAAAATAAAAGACAAATCAAAACATACCTTGAGACAGATAAAAATGGAAATACAACATATCAAAACTTAAGGGATGCAAAATAAGGGTTCTAAGAGGGAAGTTCATTGCAATAAATGCCTACATTAAGGAAAAAGAAAGGTCTCTAATAAATAACCTAATTTTACACTTCAAAAAACTAGAAAAAGAAGACTAAATGAAGCCAAAGTTAGTTGAGTTGATAACAAAGATCAGAGCAGAAATAAATAGAGGCTAAAAAGACAATAGAAAAAAATCAATGAAACTAAGAGCTGGCTTTGTGAAAAAACAAAGAAAACAGAAAAAAACCTTTAACTAGATTTTAAAGAAAGAGAAAGGACTCAAATAAAATTAGAAATGAAAGAAAAGACATTATATCTGATACCACAGAAATATAAAGAATCTTAAGAGACTACTATGACCATCTGTAAAAATCACTATCTCAAAAAGTTATTTGTAATCCCATGCTCACTGCAGCATTACAGCTAACCCTTGAACAACACTGGTTTGAACTGCATAAGTCCACTTATACACAGATTTTTTTCAATAAATATACAGATCTTTCTCCATATCCCTGGGTTTCACATCCCACCAAAACTCAAAACAGTATTTTTGATCCACATCAAAGTTTTAAATAATCAAATCTATCAGTTTTCTCTTTTTTGATATCTCTGTTTGGTGTTATGCTTACAAGGTCTTCCTCAACCTATGACAACATAAATGTCTGCCAATATTTTCTTCTAATATATTTATACTTTGTTTCTTCATATTCAGCTCTTTAATTCATTCATCTGTAATCTACTTATTTATAGCATATGAGGAACTTTCTTATGCAAATAGCAACTTTCTTATGCAAATAGTTAACCTAATATTCCTAAGCCTGTTTATTGAGTCATAAATCCTTTCTTGATTTAAACTGACACTTTTTACAACAAATACTTAGACAAGTTTGGGCTTATACCTTCTCATTATTTCAATTTTTTAATATTTCTTGGCTAGTCTCCACTTTTTGTTTTTTAAATTCATACTTTCCCTTGTTTGTTGTTGTTTGGGGTGTGTGTGTGTGTGTGTGTGTGTGTGTTTATGTATGTGTATTTCAATAACACCAGTCATTCTTATTTATCTGCCTTTATTTATGATCACTTTTTTATATGGATTACTTTTTTATGCTATTATGTTCATACCTCAGCATGCTTAATGGTTCATTTCTTGATTTTAAAATATTTTATTTCAGTCTACGGCCATGCTACCCTGAACAAGCCGGATCTTGTCTCATCTCGAAAGCTAAGCAGGGTCAGGCCTGGTTAGTACTTGGATGGGAGACCACCTAGGAAGACCAAGTGCTCTAAGCATAAAAAATAAAAAATCAAAAAATAAGGGATTGTAAGCTGACAAGGTCATTGTAATCTGTGAGGTCAACCAAGGATTGCCTTGCCTAAAAAATAAAAAAATAAATAACCCTAATAGGCCTAGGCTGTTGACTTCTTAAACGGGCACTTACACTTTATTTTGCAGGTTTGACTCGCTCACCGAGTCCACTCTATTTATTGAGCACCTATTAAGTCAGGCACTAAGGAGACAGTCCCTGCCTTGTTTTATAGTTACGACAGACACTAAATATTCAATCACCTGTATGATTCTAGCTCTAAAGGAGAAGGTAGGGTGATAATTGCAGGGTATCACAGGGGAAGGGTGACATAAAGATTCGAGGTTTCCCTAAGAGAGTAATATTCACGTGAAAGATGAATAAGAATTGGCACG